GTCCGGAATGGTCACACTAGCCAAGGAGGTGCATCTTGCAAAGGCTGCAAGCCCAATCTCGGTCACTGAGTCCGGGATGGTCACACTTGCCAACGAGCTGCATGCTTCAAAGGCTGCTTCCCCAATCTCCGTCACTGAGTCCGGGATGGTCACACTTGCCAACGAGCTGCAACCTGCAAAGGCTGCTTCCCCGATCTCCGTCACTGAGTCGGGGATGGTCACACTTGCCAACGAGCTACAACCTGCAAAGGCTGCTTCCCCGATCTCCGTCACTGAGTCCGGGATGGTCACAGTTGCCAACGAGCTGCACTTTGCAAAGGCATCATTCCCAATCTCAGTCACTGAATTGGGGATGTTCACACTTGCCAACAAGGTGCAGCACCTGAATGCATTTTGAACAATAGCTGTTGCACCATTTGTGATTTGAACCACAAATAGTGACTCCAAGTCCAAGTGGTCAAAGTTGTAGTCGACGACACCGTCCTCATCATCATCCGAATCCAAGTACTGAGCAAGTTGGGCACGAAAAGATGAGGACTCGAAGGCCAACTCAGGCACACACCGGACAAACTCACGTTTGTCGGAGCATGTCACGGTATTTTGTCTCAAAATGACAGTTGCTTCTGATTCTGGAGACAGGCCTGCGCCTGCAGCTGTCTCGTCATTCTTCAGTATTCTGCTGGCCCCCACGACAATGTCCACCCGAGTTGTTTTGCGTGTGAGTTCATCATCCCAATGCTGGCGCTCTTTGATCTGCTCCTTGAGCTCTTGACCGGTCATGTCTGGCATGACTTCAAGAATTATCGCTTCGCCATTCAGCTGCCGAAATGAAACCTCCATGGCCATGGCTGCGTTTTGGCACAACAAATCGAAGACGGCGTTTTGTCGAAAACAACAGGCCCCACCCAGCGACAGCTGGTGCCCGCACCCTGGCCAGCAGCTGAGATCCAACCACCGCAGTCCTTCTAGTCTGTGAACCAGAAAACCGGCTGTGCCCATCGAAAAAAGAACAAATATATACATCAATCCACTTGGCATTCAGACATGTCATCTTTTCACTCAAACTCTATGCGAATCTACCGCAATCCATGTGCCCGGTCTCCTTGATTGCTTCACCGGTCAGCCAGCCCTGTCTCCTCCCGCCGAGCCACACCAGACGCCAAGCTCATGGCATTGAGCCTCGTGGCGCCGGCTGCGGGCAAATCGACGGACTAAAGCGACCTTTTGCAAGTCAAGCGACCTTTTTGGGGCTGGTTGCATGCTTTGGAAAAACTAATATAGCGACCTTTTTTGCTGGGAGGAATCCTAGATCCAAACCAAAAAATTGTCTTTTTTGGTCTGTTGTCTATCAAGAGAATCGGTCAGAATGGGGTGGACATGTTATCAACTCCTGTGGCTGATGGTGTGAAAGGTAAAACATGTTGCCTTAGGTGTTTTTCCAAAGCTGCGTTTCTTTCATAGAATTTCTTGGAGCTGTCACTGTTACTTAGTAGCAGTAACAGCACCTCTCTGACCAGTAGAGTCTACTTGGTGCGCAGATCCTTTCAGTACCTTTCTTCGGTGCTGGGCACAGTTCTTCCCCGCTCGGCGCGGCCATCCCGGTCTCCTGTTGAACCGCCCAGTTCCAGCGGCTTTTTTCGAACGGTTCTGGGACCCCTCCAGCAAGCCTCTAGGTTTAGAGCAGATGTCTTCTAACCCACTTGGAACGGCGGCGAATCCCTGGCAAAATCTCTTAAGATGCTTGCTGTTGTTGGGCATGTCCAAAGCTCTGAGAGCATCTTGGACCCGATTTGCCCGCATTTGGAGTAAGAGCCACCTCTGTGACCGACCTGTTGTTGCTGCCTTTTCCACGACAATCCACCATGCCATGCGCATTTTTGGGAAGGAGCTTCTCAAGGCCGAAAAAACCGCGCAAAAACCGCGCCAACTCGCCTCACCGAACTCGAGCGAACTCGACCGAGGCAGAGCTCAACCAACCTCCTTCGTCCCCTTTGCATCTCGAGCGGCGCCACGGCCCACTCCGGCGAGATCCGCTTCGTGGGGTCCCAGGGCAAGAAGCCCGGCAAGGCCTCGGCGGTCCCGGCGAGTCGGTTTAGGGCGGTTCGTCAGTCTTGGAAGGTTCCAAAAGAACTGGTCTAACTAGAAAGGGAATCGACACAAAATCAGTTTACATCAGCTATTGATCATATATAATATATTATTATATAGAGCTATATATTGATCCAAACGTCACACCAAAGTAGAAAGGACTTTCGAAGGTACCCTGGCCAATGGGACAGGACCTAAAAAGAATCCACCAGAACCCGGAGAGCATGCTTTCCTGGACCTGGAAGAGACCAAGAAGCTCAGGGTCCTGCTAGCCTGCTTCTTTGGATAAGGAAGAGTCACTCCTGTTCAGTTGCTGAACTGCGGATCCAAAAAAATCGATGAGCTGAAGCCCTGCAGGGCACCATGGTGCCAGCCAGCAACTGAAATCTCACTATCTGGGTGGGGTGGGGTTCTGATCAACACGGCGTCCACAAGGCTTCTGATCGTCTTTCCGTCTCACTATGAACCCATGGATTGTGGGTTCACACGAGAGGCCACCATCCACCGCAATAGGGCTCACACGTGAAGAGCAGTAAACAAAGGAAACTGGTGGGCTCCTCCGAACAATCTGAACAAGTCTGTGACTCTTCCCAAAGTCTTCAGTGCTGCAATTCAGTGGGCCGTTCATCCACCCACTTTGAGGAACATCGAGGAACTCGCCACATCCCTTTCAGCGGAACGCGCCTCATCTGCCTTGGTGATCATCACTGTGGTCCTCACTGCCGCGATGCGTCAGGCAATGGAAACAGGTGTGTTGTTGTTCTTTTCCCGTGAAGAGAAGTGGGTCTTCTGGGCACGTCAGGCAAGTCTTAATATCGAAAGCCGGTTGACACGGCCCACTTATATGAAGGCCAGGTCTTCTGTTTCCACTGCTATAAAAACAGGGGATGCCAGAATCCCATGCCACAACTCCAGTATTGGTTTGGTTGACCCTTACGTATAGAGGGGGTTGCCACCATCTGTCCTTCAGTCTATCAGCAGTGCCAGTGAGAAAGGACCAAACAAAGTTGACAGCAATCTGGTCCTGGGAATTGGATCTGCAAACGTAAAGCGCAACATCCTATCTATCCTATCTATCTCCCAAAAACAGGAGGACCACAACACCGAACCAGGAGTGTTCGAGCTTTACAACCATCCTGGAGCTCAAGATTTGTTGGGGCTCTTTACTCCTTCCCATTCTGTTTTATCATTAAGCGTTGACTTTGCTCCACACGTGGACAAACCTCCCTCCTTCCCGACCGGGATGACCGGTGGTCATCGGTCCGGTCGATGAGAAGGGCGGCCGAGACCAAGTACAAGTCCATCTTCCCCACCTGGGCGGCTCGGTGCGATCGCTCGCGGTGCGCGAGAAAGCGCTCGGCGACGGGTGCGATCCACACGGTGCCGAACGGGTGGTCCCGACGCCGCGATCCCACGGCGCATTCGAGAAGCCGTGGAATCGGTGCGAAATCGTGGAAAAGAATTCTGCAGAAATTTGGGTCATGACTCACAATGAGCGTTTCGATGGTTCGATTCGCTGGTCATTCTCGATCTCAGCTGGTCCTTGCTAGCTCCGATTGCAAGGGGAAGAAAAAGCTCTGCTGAAGATTGAATCCACCAAGTGCAGGTAGTAGGACCAATTTAATCCAGCAAGTTGCTGATGGACATGTTGCTCATCCAAATATTGCCCCAACAAATTGCTTCATCTGCCAAGTGCCAATGTCGACCCTGATGACCCGCTTCAGCTCAGGTCTCCCCAACTGTCAGCTCCACCAAGTCTCGCACGTCCTGGCCGGTGAAAGCCGGAGTGCAAGCCCAAACGGTGGAGGCATGGGAAGAAGGAGGGTGAACTGGATGCAAAAGCGGAAGGTGGGGTTTCGCAGATGGGAAGACCTCGTTCCTATCTGAAGAAAGTCATGTGGGGACTGTGGCGGATGGGTTTCACCCAGCTCGCGGTCGTTTCACCGAGCTTCGCGAGCCTCGAAGCACGTGGAAACTCACTCTTGAACGGCCCAACATGTCTCTGTTTCAAGTCATTTGTCACGTCCGCTTCGGCTCGTGAGCGTTGGCTTTTCACGCTGCTTGAGGAGCGCTTCGGCTCAGTCCCACGAAGCGGGCGGAGGATTCGACGAACAGCGCACAGGTGGTGAACAGGAATTGGGAAGCGAATGGATTTGGAGGTGTTTGCAGGTCAAAGAGTCAAAAGTTCTTGTATTTTACTGGAGTTGGTCAATACAAAAACATCTACTCCATGACTCCATGAGGTCAAGAAGCAGGCTTGGACCGTTAGACTGGACCTGTAGGGTATATGCAAATAGGAGAAACTACTGCAGACTGGACCTGCCTGGAGGATCGTGAACCAACGTCCACCTCTGAGCACGGCACACCCGAGCGGAGGCCTCGCGGTAGAGGCTGAACTGGGCGACCCTCATGTCCTGCTCTTGGAACTCGCGTTCCTGGCAGATTCGAGGATTCGAGCGGATTTGGATGGATTTGGATGATTTTTGGGTGGCGACGACTTGCTGCCTTGCATCCACAGAGTGCATCCAAGAGAGTTCATATAAGATGAGTTCTGAAAAGAAACGAGAACATATACCCTGAAGAGAATTCGGGTCTACTACTGATAGCATTGTTCGTTTATTAGCGCTCCTGCACAAAATATTGAGAGCCCAAGCCACGACTGACTGGATTTCAGAGCCGCAACATGACAACTCAAGAACTCAACATCGCCCGCCTGTCGCAAGGTCTTGTCGAACATGAAGTTCTTCCGGTTGTACTTAAAGAGCGCCTCCGCGCCGCCGACGGTGGACGGTCGACGGTCCGACGTGGTCCGACACGTCCTCGGTCGTGACAGGCCGTTCTTCCGATGCGTTGGCTGCACCGAAACTCGCGGATGGTGAAGTGACCTGATGGGCGATCAGTCGATCCTCAGGGTGAAGTCTGAGAGAACGTGATGGGCGAAAGAGTCTTCGATGCCTTGATGCCTTGATGCATTGGGGTGCAAAAAGAATATAGTTGCTTTTTGAGTTGCTTTTTTTGAGGATGATTTGGGGATGTTAAAAAATTACACACTTAGAGCGAAGTCATGTTTTCAGCACCTCAGAACCCTTTCTCCAAACGTCAACAACCTTCAATATCCAGATTCGCAGGAAGAATCGATGGTTTCCTCACGTGGGGAGTCAAATACCTCAAGTGGGTCCCCCCATTCTTCCATTTTTTCTCACCAAGAAAGACCCTTCTCCAAGTCGTCTCAAAGAAATCAAGACACAAAAAAAGAACGCATCTGTATCACCGTTTTTCTCCGTTTTGCTTCAAGACACTCTTTTCTCGACATGCGCCAGTCCGCGGTCCGCGCCGGTGTCGGCTCGGTCGCCCGGTCGGTCGAACGCCCCGTGTCGTCTCGGCTCAGTCTTCCAGTGGGTTGCTGCCCACACCGGACCTCGGTGGCGCGGGGTGCGAAGGACCGACGAGCGTCAAAGGTGCGAAGGAGGGACCAGTCACCGGGTCCTTCCAAAAGCGGCCTCAAAACGAACGGTGATGGAACAAAGAAGGGAAAGAAGAAGAACATAGACATGTCTAGCATGTCATCCTAAGTTGAGTGATCTAAGTTCGATTTGACTAGTCACTTGAAGATGATATTGATGATATAGGTATTGGTATAAGCAGAGGGAAGCAAAGGGAGCAAGACCCAAGGCTCCCTGCTGGACGAGTCGTAAACAAAGAGACTCCCAAGGCTCGAATAAACAAGTACTGATGGCAATCCACAAGATGCAAAGAGGAAGATTTGGAAGCTTCTTTTCCTCTACTGGGGCGAATGGCATGTTCTTCTGGCTGGCTTCTTCCTACGATCGATCGTGAAAACTCCATGGATCCTCTCTGAATGATTCCAAGGCGGTGCCTAACCCTCAAGCATGAGCAAAGTTGTAATGAACCTTCAGGTCAAACTAACATGACCAAGCAGAGTAGACCGTGTCCACACCAGGAAGAAAGTTATGAGTTATGACTATGACTGACTATAGTTATGTGAAGAGAACAGAGATCACCACGTGCGCTCATTTGAGACGAAGATCCGTTTTTCTTACATGGCTTGCTTGCTCATGTCAGACCCCCTACCACGCCAGCTTTGCCGCTCTTTTGAGCTTCCGCTAATGTCCACGGCTGCACTTCTTCCGCCTGCGATGTTCGTCCGCAAATGTTCAGCGCGGAGATGTTCAATGCAAATTGGATGCCGAGAAAGCCAGGTTTACAGTGGAAAAGCAGAGATTGTGAAGAGTAACGACCCCCAAACTGCACTTGCAGATGCATCTTGTGCTAGTCCAATTTGTTCATTTTTGGAACTATGCAGGATGCATTCATAGGTCCAAAACTTCCCGCTGTCTTTGCTGGGTTGAGAAGGAGAATCAGTCTTTAGGTAAAGCTGGATAGGTCGTTTCACTATCCTCGGTCCGTGTCGGCTCAATGTGAATGAAGCTGTCCAGACTGCCAGAGCGGATAGGAGCGCACTTCTCTTGGTCGTAGGCAGCTGGTTTTTTCGGCGGACATTTGGACCGTAGACTATACGACCTCCCAAAGAGTTTGAACTGAGTTATGAAGCAAATGGAAGCTGGTTCATGTTCAACAAAACCTCCTGCATGAAAATAAGGAATCCAAGCACGAGTCGACGAGTCTTCAGAAGTCACCACATCACAAACTGCCTGCAGATGACATGGGATCCACCGAAGCTTCAAAACAACATTGGTTTGCCAGATGACATAATAGGTTGTGGACGGAATGGCATGTTTGCATGACAAAGGTGGTGCTCATGACATAAATGCATGTAGAATTCTCTTGGGCCAAGTGGTGCAATGGGTACTTTAAGCATTGGAAACGGAGAAAGTGGCTCACTCGTCTGGTGAGTTCCAACCCACCAGTCCCACCGTCCAGTTGGGCTGTGTTGCGCATGTCCAAAACTGAAGCCTCTGGACACACAAAAAAGGAAATAGGTAACAAAAAAAAGGAACAAAGACGTCATACCAATCAAAAGTGTGTTCCCAGTATACGCCAAACGTTTAAAAGGATGAAGACCTTCAGCTGTTCAGCTTCGGACCGGGTTCTCCGGTGTTCCACCGTTCCTCCGTCGAAAAACACGAAGAGCCGACCTCCCCGTGCCTTCAACGGATGGCTGGCGGTGTGGGTTGCACCATCTCTTGCCCCTGGCAGGACATGGAAGTGTCCAATGCTGGTGACAGAAGAAGCATTCTGAGGTCCAGCTGCGGTCCCAAACACGTCTGAGCGAAAAGGGTGATCTCGAATGATCTCTTTTGAAGTCTAAGTATCAGCTCATGATCTTGATTATGCATATAGATATTACAATACATAAGCTATACTGGACATGCACATTTGGTGATCTCTATACGGTATGAACGGTGGAGGGCCAAGTTCACATCCATCCAACCGGGAATCGAATCCGCGTGTCATGGTGTTCAGGTTCAGCCCGTTCACAGCACCTGCAGAGTGGACTAAACCCCAAATGTAAAGGAGATCCACTTAAAAACATCGGTTTACACTGCTTTTGTCACCATAGTCACGGCTAAGTTCAAAAGGTTCAGTTGGCTCAGTAGGTCTTTGTGGGCTTTAACTTCTTTCAAACCTTTCCCATCGTCCCTCAGTTCTTCATAGCCAGTCGCCTTTTGACAAGCCAGTCGCGGTCGGCTTGACCGGAACTCCTACCGGTCGAACTGTAAGTCCTTGTTTCGGCCACTACCGTCGGCCATGGAGTGAAGATCGCCACCGTCGAGGACACACCCAGCCGTCCAGAAACCAGCTGTACTCACACCCTTGACATTCACATTCTTTTGCCTGAATCCGTTGGCAGCCACTGAAAGCCTCTTCCTCCAACCTGATCCGGGTGATGGGCAAGACCAGGGTCAAAGCACTGCAACGTAAAAAGGCTGCTTCCCCAATCTGGGTCACTGAGTCCGGAATGGTTACACTTGCCAACGACCTGCATCCTGCAAAGGCTCCACACCCAATGTGGGTCACTGAGTCCGGAATGGTTACACTTGCCAACGACCTGCATCCTGCAAAGGCTCCA